GAACCATCCTCACCTACCCAAGGTGGGACCAACCGACCTGCACACATCAGCTGCCGTGTCGCTCGGTAACGCCTCTGCAAAGCGGCCTAGGACATACTTTCTCAGCCAGGAGGAGCCCTCCGATGGCAGCCCTCCTGTCAAGAAGAAGAGAAATACTCGCGAGACTCAATCTACCAAAAGCTATCCCCAAGATATTGCCCGCCTCACCCGCTTCGGCAAGGGTACCTTTGCCATTGGCCACGGTCCGCTCCCTGACGATATCGACTGGACACAGATACCGGTGCCCGTAATCAAGGAACAGCTGTTCATGCGGGACGTCTCCAGGATGGGTAGAAAGGCTGAATTGCTCGAAAGAATCCAGAACTAGAAGAGCTGGGAAGCACCTGCCGAGGCAGAGCTCGGTCTCACACACGAGGCCGCAATCGAGGTCGGTGGTGGAATCGCCGCCCAGCAGCGCCCAGGTGGCTTTCGTAAGGGCGCCAACGAGAAGACTCATGAATCTACGAAGAAGGCCCTCACACAGCGCATGATCTTGGTCAAGCGTCAGGACGCCATTGAGTGGGATGACTGGGGCTCTTATGACCCCGCGAATACCAACTCTGCCGACTTCTACATTCGCGGTTCTGATAAGACGTACTGCATCACCATTAACAATTCGCCCAAGTGCGACTGTCCTGCCAAGTAGGCCAGTCGTTTTCACGTTCGTGCTTTGATGCGACGGGCTGATCTCTTGCAGAAATACAACCCCCAAAACCACTGCAAGCACATCATATGTGAGTACCAATTCATTGCTTGGAGTGAGGCTGCCTCAAGCATCTGCCCTTGCAAACCCCAAGAACGAGGCGTTGACAGTTTTCAGATGTCCTGGTTCACATTCTACGAGCGCCTGAGGCTCTCATATATCAAAAGACACTCATTGACGACGAAATCCGGGCACTCCTGACGCAAGGCCCAAACCTCCGTCCTACCTTGGACCAGATCAACAACGATTCAACCATGAAGGACGGCATTGCCAAGGACATAATCGCACAAGATTGTCCCATCTGCTACCAGTCCCTCGGTGACGAGGCCCCCGTTACCTGTGTCACTTGTGGCCGCCATGCTCACGAGTCTTGTCATAAGAAGTGGGAGCACGAGAACAGTGGCTGGGGTCCTCTCAAATGCCTCACCTGCCAAGGTATCTGGAAATAGTTTACCGAAGAGTCAGACCACCGAGGGTGTCCTGAACCTCCAATGCAGAGAGATGGCCGGAATCTGACCGCCTTGTGTTCCTTCTGGAGGCGTTATTTTGCTCTTTGAACTTGAAACATCGGAGTCAGCGCCAGATAGCGCAAGGATTTACTATTGCTGGTCAACTAAGAAAGGCTCAAAATGTTTTGCGTTCCGAAGGACAGACATGTCACTACAGGCCCGTGAACTATATTATCCGATGTAGCACTCCCCCGAAAACTATATATCACGGAGCCAAGCTCTGTTCACATAGCAACGTAGCACATCCAAGGTGGGGAGCCTGAGAAAGAACGAATATCGTGATAATACAACTGACGTGTATTAACAGATAGTTGCAGCAACTCATGGGAGCTCAGTGGCATCATGTCAGGATATCTTTTTGTGGAGCGCTAAACGATCTCCATGTTACTCACTTGTCAACGGCCACTTACCACCGTAATTTCTGATTTATCGAGAGACTGCGTTCTCGACCCGGAACGATGTGACACCGGAAGCGTTGCTCTCAGCTGAGCCCCCCCGCCCCCTCCAGGGTGTGGATTGACTTTCTCACCATGCGCCCCATCATGCCAGACATCAACCAGCGAGCGAAGCCTGGGCCTCCCGAGCCCGAAAAAGTTGAACGCCTCGAGGGGCAAAGACTTTTACCCCCCCCTCAGCTGCACAGCGCCTGTCTCAGAGCGCCGAGGGCGGCGTTGAAACATTGCAGCCACCGCAGGCAGCGTGACTTCGGGAGATGATCAGACCTTCCATGAAGTCGAACCCCTCCTTTTGTGTTCTACGAGACAGATCGAGAAGTGCCAGTCCGGGAAGTGATCCGCCCTCTCGGGTCCAGGGAGACAAGCAGGTCACTGCACTCACTCGTTGAAGACCCGGGGAAGAGGCGGCGGTGGTGGCCCAAGGATGAACCTACAAATCCCGGCTGCAGGGTTGACTCGAGAGAGAAAATCTCCGCGTCGGGCGCCGTTTTCAGAATTTCGGCGCATGTCTCCCCAGGCCCGTCGACCCGTAAACAACAACAAAAGCATATCGTTTTCGCGTTTGGATGAGCTCGTCTCGGCGAGGCTGAAATTTGCGTTTCGTTAAGCTAAAGAGGGGCGCCTCGGCGCGTGTTGCTGACGAAAGTCAACCCGCAAAGTGCCCAGTTTGCAGGACGAGGGTTCGGCGCGATGAGGTCATTGCATCCGAACCGGTTTGCCGCAAACAGAACTGCAGCCGAGCAAATGACATGAGACCATTAACGTATCGGGCTACCCAAGAGGATCGGCTTGTGCACGTATTGGTTTGGAAGACCAGTGACTAGTCCAGGTACAGTTTGAACGGGTCAAAATGGCATCGCTGTTGATGCTCATTTCGTCGTGTCGTGAATTCGTGAAGGGAGAGAAAACTGGATACAAACAAACAAATGAAGACGTCTCCTTGTCAAATTGATGCTCTTCGTCGAGGTCCCTGGCCCCCGGTCCCTTAAGCCCCCCGGTCCCATCGACTCTCCTCCCCGGCATGTATGACAGGGATCAATCGGTAGGATCCCGGATGCAAGCACTTTGAATTGGCTCGTGCAACGCGGCGAAGGTTGATGAGCCACTTTGTGGGGTTTCGTGAACCCTGGACATTCCACTTGCGCCCCTTCTCGCTCGTCAGTTCTAGGCACAGCGGGGACCAGACACTGTCGACAGAAGGCCAGATGCTTCGGATTGATGGCTATTGTCCGGGTTGATTGATGGAGTACAACCCCGTGCTTCAGCCTTTGATGTCACGGGATGGCGCAAGTGAGAGGCATGGACCCCTTTCTTTCGCGCAGCTCGAGCGTCTCGATCATCCTTCCTACAGGCCCAAGAACTCTTTTGTCTCAGAGGTGGTACTGCCGCACGAGACAGAGTTCACAAGGTGTGGAGGCTCGTTAACGGAAAGACCAAATGGGTATCTATCTGGCTTGACGAATGGGGGACTGCGCTGGCGGAAACGAGCGAGGGAGAGAGATGGTTGGTGACGACGACCCAAAACTAGTGGCGTGCCGCGGAATGGTTCCTTTTTCTTGCGGGCAGTCCGAGACGCGGATGAACGCTGACTGAGAGGGCAATTTGCTCAGCTGGGGCCAGAGGGGGAATGTCCGACAGCCAGCCGGCGGTCGGCAGTCCTCTAGAAAACGCCCGTAGGCCCAATGTAAGAGTTATACTGCCATGGGAGGAGCAGCCTCCCCGCATTTGACGGGTGTCGACATGAATGGGGCACATCGACATTTTGCGCTCAGTCTCCGTAATCTTCGTGTGTTACCTGGGAGGACCGAGGCCGGACGGCACCGCCTGTGGTTGTGGAATGTTGCTCATTGAGCTGTCACAGCGGCGGGTGGTATTCGGGCATCTCACCACTTTGTCACCTGTACAATGCAGGAAGGGGGTTAGGGGCGATCGTGGAGTGGTCTGATGTGCAGCGAGGCCAGGTCGAAAAGAGGCAAGACAATGGCTGACGGCGTCGGAAGCATGCCAGTACAGGGCCACCAGCGCCGGCTCGTCTGCCGGTCTTTCCATAAAAGGAAAAGCAATAATCTCACAACGAAGATGGGTTGATCAGTAAATCTCTTCGGCTGGCCGGTCGACTAGCGCATTGCTTCTCTTGCGCCATTTGCCTTTCCACAGGGGCGCTCATCAATCAGTGGGTAAGACCGAAGTGTCGGGGAATATTTGACCACACAGCTGCGGGCCGGCGATTGCATATGGAACACAGGTCTCCGATGGACCAGAGGGGAAAAGATTCGACGACGACGACATCAGGCTGTGACGAAAACACGACTGCTAGCCAGGTACCGCGAGAAACATGTGCCACATGGGGCACACCTTCATGCTCGTCCCCACACTGAAAAGACTATTGGAAATCTCGACGGCGACGTTGACAAATATCGTGCTGCTTGCCTTCTGACCGTCACAGGAGCGCTGCGTTCCGGCAGGTCTTTGACAGCGGAAGGTCTTTGCCTGGAACTGTTTCGGCGCCCATGCTAGTGATCTGCGCCAGAATGTGGGTTGCCTATGGAATTCAGTTGAGGCTGAAGTCGACCTCGATCTCTTTGACTCAAGTTAGGGTCGAAACGTTGTATGGGAGATTGGGAATGCTTTTCCTTGCTTCCATACATCACCCTGTCTCACGGATCGGTGACGGGGTCTGTTGGGCCTGTTGGTCGTTTCTTTGTCGGCGAGCTCAGATGAAAATTCTCTGTCCTTTTCGAAGCCGTGGCCAACCTGTCATGAATCAACCATCCCATCCTTGAGTGGGTAATTGGTGTGCCGCCATCGGTCAAGTGGACAGCCGATTCGGTCGGAGGAGACGGAACTGGTGCCAAAGACCAACGCTTGTCATGGCTGGCAGCGGACTAGGCGTGTCGACACGTGGAGGGCAGTGCACTCGGCAGTCTCTAAGTTGGTTGAGTTGGGGGTGAGGGGGCATGGGGGGATACTCGCTGGCGAAGAGGCGGGAAAGCTTGCTTGTTTGGCTTCATTCTGACGGGCGTGTGAGTACCTACCTAGATTCCTCCTGTAGACTTGACGGCCGACAGACATCACGTCGTCGTCGTTCTCCTCAGTGGCTGGGGCAAGCCCGAACCCCCCCCTTGTTTGGCCTGTCTTGCCGTCCTGACTGCACCTGCACTTGCGACAAAGGCAGCCACGCACAGCACGCTACGCTGCAGGCCCCGTGACGACAGGTGTGGTGGTGGTGCTACAGTATGGCCTCTGCCCCCCTCCCCCCCAATCCGCTGCCGGATATGATGTCCTAGGGCGCTCAGGGTGCCAAACGTGCAGTGACTGATGGTGCTGTCGAGAAATGTGTGTCGCCCCAAGCGCCCTGAACGAGGCCTAAGCTCGCCGCCGCCCCCTGCACGCCCCCTTGCACGCCCACCCTTGTCGCCTTGGCCCCGCTCTTCGTACCTTGCTGCGCATGGATCCCTGACCTGTTGCCCCCGACTTGGGACCGCTGGAGCTCTGGGCTGCAGCTGCCTGCAAGGTCTGCTGGCTCGTCTGCCTGCTAGTCTGCGAAGTTTGCGCCGCGCTGCTCTGTCATTGCGTCTTGTTGACCAAAGTAAGAATGACCAGCACAAAACCAAGGATCCGCTGGTGACCCTGCTTCTTTCGTCAGGCTTGCCAGGCCATGCAAGTCCACCTGGTCCATCCCCATCCGTCGTCTACTTACCCTACCTTACACCTACACATCGCGTCTCACGCAACCAACGGACTGCTGCCGGGTTCTTCCCGACATCCTCGAGTCTCTTTCCCTTCGCCAAGCAAATAAACCAGACCGTCAGCTGGAGTCCCAACTCAAGCCAGCTCGAATTGACGCCGTTTCCGCCGGTTGCTGCTGCTCATCGACATAAGCGCTCTCATTGAAGACTGACCTACCTGCCTGCCTACCTATCTACCCCAGAACCAGGACCCAGGCCCAAGTCTTTGCTTTTGTTCCTTCGCTTCCTTTTCTCCCTCCCCTCCCCCAGTTTCGCTGTACCGTGCCGCAGTCAGCCTCTGTCGTCCAGCCAAGATATTCGACATTGCCGAGCTATGCTGCGCTGTCGGTGCGGAGGAGACAGGCTCGCTATCTCTTCCTACCATTGTCTCTCGACCTAAAGCAAAGGCCCAGCCCAAAGGCCCAACCCTGACCCTCCCCCGGACTCGCCGTCCGCCGTCTCCCATCCTCAACCTCTCCCCTCTTGGCGATTCTGCCTGCAGAGACGACGCTGGTGTTGCCGACTAAAACCACACATCGACTGCATCGTTTGGACGCCGGCTGGGCGACCGCAGTGCTGAGATCATGCAGCGCGTGTCTGCTTTGTTACCTTCTTGGGGGGATCGGAGAAAATCCAATACCAGCACATCGGCCAAGGCTTCCATAGAGAGACTGTCCAGCTCATCCGACAAACGACCCAAACCCCTGCAGCGCTTGTCAACGACTTCACGGATCGCTCGCGAGGACTTTTGGCCAGCCACCCTCGATCATGAGTGTGATCGGTCTGCGAGGATACTCAAGTCCTTCTGCTGTAAGTTGTGATACACTGGCAAAGCGAGGCATGCCTGCCGCTACTGAACTTCGCTGACAAGTTTCCTAGCCGACGGATACCTCGCGCCTCTGCAGGACGACAACCATTCCATCACTTCCGCCAATTCCGCCAGCTCTGCCGAACCGCAAACCCCCATACAGGTGTTCCAGAAGATCCCGACGCGCATCATACAAAATGCTGCTGGTATCGCCATCTTCACATGCATGCGCTCCGGTCTTTGGATGACTGGCTCGGGAGGCTCGGGCATCCTGATTGCGCGGAAGGCTGACGGCACCTGGTCGCCGCCCTCGGGCATTTTACTCCACACCCCCATCCTTAGCTTCATCATGGGAGTCGATATATATGACTGCGTCCTTGTCATCAACAACATGGCGGCCCTGGAATCGCTAATCACAAGGCCAAATGTTACACTTGGAGAAGACATTGGTCTCACTCGCGGACCTCTCGTCTCACTCGAGTCGACCGGCGACGATATGCGATGGCGAGACTTTGACGGTACCGTTCTGACCTACCTCAAGGCCAGAGGTCAAGCCCAAACCGTCGACCTCAGTGGCTGCATCCTGAGGGAGAGGGGCAATGAGAATGAGAGATTCTATGGGAGCGAAGTGACGCCTCTGCAGATTCTTGCAGGCAACGTCGCGCGACAGGTGGAAGAAACCCTACCTCTAACCGAGGTTCTGAAGGCCGCCGAAGGCCGCATCGATGCAGACCTCGCGATCATCAACCAGCTCTCAAGCCAGCCGGCCCCTGGTGACGCCATGATTGCCACACCCCGCGATTCACCCGTATCGCCCACCGCGGCATTTGGCATGCCCAACGCCGCTGACCCAGACCCATTCGGCATCCTTGCCCTGGAGATGGCAGGATTGGAAATCCGCGAGGCCGGCACGCGCCTCAGACCAGGAAGCCGCCAGTTCGATTATTCACCCAGCCCGACTAGCCCTGCCTTTTCTAAATTCAGCCGGCAGAGTGTACAAGCATCCGTCACTGAGAGCAACAGGGGCAGCTACATGTCAACAAGGACAGAGACGACGAAGATGTCTGATGCTCATACACAGACTGATCTGGGCCAAACCCCCAGCACGACACCAACTCACAGCCAGAGTGAGGATGGACGGATGCAGCGGCTGGTAACCCAGATACCCCACATAAGGAACCTGATGAGATCGACTACACCAAGATTGATCTTACACCGATCAGGAAGATTAGCGGCAGCCACTCGATCGAGAGCTGTACCATGACGGACAGCGCCACGAGTACCGATGAACAATCGAGGACAGACGGTAGCACACTCGATGATGCAGCCACCAAGGCGTCGAGCATCTATGAGAAGGAGGAGATGGAGTCCCAGATGGGGAACGATGAGATTGACGACGACGCAGACGATGAGGATGATGAGAGCGAGGATGAGGAGGAGCCCATCATCTATGAAGTGGCGTCTCTGCAGCCGACAGCCCGCACAGCTATGATTGCGTCTCCCATTCAGGTCAAAGGTTCTCTTGTGACGATTCCCAAGCGGATTCCCCCGCCCCTTCCCACCAGAAGTCCCGCGCGGGCTTCGCGAGCGAGCAAGAGCGAGCTGGGCGATGTCAGCCACCTCGCAAGCCCACTGCACTCCAACTTCACCACCTCGCCGAGGCAATCCTACGACGCTGGTTGTGCGGGCAGCGAAGGCCGCGAGATTCCTTCCATCCTTGAAACTCCGGCGGTGGACGAACCTGCAGCGGCGACCCCATCCAGGGAGCAGGTCGATGTGGCCGTCGAGGTTGACAAGAGCCCATTGTCCACTAAGACCTCACAAGAATTCCACGAGGCTAAGGAAGACCTCAGTCCTCAACCTGCGGCGCCTGGTGCCTTTCCCTCGGATGACGAGGTCGACGCTTTATTCCCACCCGTCAGGAACCCCAGGCGACAGTCAAAACCGGAGAAGGCGGCAGAGACCCAAGCCGTATCGCCCCGACCGGTTTCTGTGGCATGAGCACAGCCAGTGTACCTGGATGATGATGTAATCTTTTTCTTTTCTTTTTTTTTCTTCCTTTCTTCTCACCATTTCTTCGATGAAACATATCGGTACCCAGTTTTGCTGGTGCTGTTGGTGGGATATGAATACTTCTGCATATATGGGCAGGAAGGAGTTTGGCATGTCCCATGTACGGATGGGCCATTGATGAGGCGTTTTTGGGCTTGGTATCCAGGGCACATGTCCGGATGAATTGGCGATGTCAGCCAGGACAGAGAACCTGAGCTTGTCGTACGCATTAGTATTGCCAGGATGGCGGCACGTGGCGGGGTAGACGCCCAGGACAGGGCCGTCATGTATTTCACCTCTTTGGCCGCAAGCCACGGGCTTATGATAATGGAATGCTGGGACATTAGCCACGAAGACGACACTGAAAGAGTCTTTAGGAGCAGTACGATATCTACCTAACATAATTTCTTCCTCAACCAGAATTGACTTGGGAGCTCTTATGGCTGAATGACTGGACGAGGTGAGTGTGGTGAGTCGGGAGCTGACCTTCTCCGGCCTAGGTCCATGTAACAAGCTCTTTCATGACAATGCCACCATGTCAACGAGGTATCAACGAGGCACTGTTGACATGCTCATTGAACTTCGCCGCGTGAGTGTTCACATGGTCGCTGTCGTTGTCGTTCTTGTCGTCGTCGTCACGGCGATCTGGCAACGGGGCCTCGGGGGCGCCATGTGGTCACCGCTTGGAGTGTAGACAGAGAGTCTCGTAGGGCAAGCGCCATATGCATAGCAGTCGTCTTTTGCGTTCTTGTCTTCTCCTCCATGCCTATCTCTCGCACCTTTGTCTAGGGTTCTTGTGAGCGAAATCACGAAGCGCCACACTTCCGCACCTTCACAAGCCACTTTAGCGCCTCACAGTGAACTTGGTCCGAGCGTCCAAAACGCCATCCCATTCGCCAATGACCATGCCCAGCAGGAACGCGTCGGGGAGCAGCTTCGACTTCAACACCTTCCTGGCGCCCCTCGCAGACCAGGACCAGGACCCGGATCAGGAACAAGATTGCGACCGAAGCTCCTACGTCCAGCAGCAGCTTCACCACTTCGGCCCTCGCCACATCGCCGAGCCTGGCTTGTACGATCATCGATTTCAATATCCGGATCCCACTGAGCAGAGTTGCGTGGCTGATTCTTTCGGCACCCCAATCCCCGTTCGCGATACACCCTCGCTTGTTGCGACAACACCTGCCGCTTCCTATCCCGGCACTCCCTCGAACGAGAAGAAGCAGACGAAGAAGAGTCAGAGCAAGAAGGAGAGCAAGACAGCTCAGGGCCTCCACAAGGCACAAGACAAGCAGCGGCAGAAGCGCCAGGCGTCACAGCCCACCACCCCCGCTCCCAAGAAGCCGCCTTCCACCCCGGCGAAGAAGACCGTCACCATGTCGGGTCAGACGGGCAAGTTCCGGGATGACCAGATCCTCGTCATCTGCCCCGGAAGTCACACGACCATGGCCCAGCTCGGCTGCGGCGAGCTCACACCTCCGGCGCATCGCATCCCCACGCGCATGTTCAAGGACAGCGACAGCGACGAGTGGCGTCCTTACCACACCTACAAGCGCAAGAAGTCCCGTACCGACAACGCGCCTGCCTCTGGGGCCGAAGATGAGTACGAGTGGGTCGAGGACACGGATTCTGACGAGGGCGCAGTTTATCCCATTGTTGGTAAGTCTATCTATGCCGTCCGTTCGCCTTGCGTTGCGCATCGCGGCGCGCCGCTCCTGCCTGACTTCCAGCGCGCGCGCCTGCCTGCCCTCTCTGGCTCGGGCCCGCCGAGGAACGAAAGACACAATGTGCTGACACGCCGAACCCGGCAGCTGGTCGCATTGTTAACATGAATGCGTTCCTCGCCTTCCTCGACCATGTTCACGGTCTGCTGACGACCACGTACCATAACACCCCGATTGTGCTCATGGTGTCCCCTCAGTGGGCTCGCCCCCATACCGAGATGATTGCCCGCTATATTTTCGAGAACACGCGCACGCCCGCTCTCTGCATGATCCACAGTGGCCTCGCAACAACCTATGGTGTTAGATGGACCAATGCTACCGTTGTCGACATTGGCTTCGAAAAGGTCGATGTGTCCTGCATCTACGAGGGTCGCGTAGTTGCTCACCGAATGCTGGGCAACTTCAACCCCGAACGGATCATTGCTGGCGGCGAGGCCTTCACCCGCAAGCTTCAAAGTTTGCTCAAAGACAAGGGCTTCACGTATGACATGGCTGAGCAGCTGAAGAAGAGTCCCATCGCCGAAGCTCTTCCCTACAACCCCGAGGCTGAAGCACGTATGGATCTTCCTACCGCCTCTACGGTTGGCGTCGCTGCAAATGCTGTCGTTGGTGATGCCGCTGCGGCAGCTATACCCGACGCCCCCAAGATTGATCCCTCCAAGCCCGTCGTCGAGGGTGGCGTTGATGATGATGCTGCTGCTGCCACTACGACCGGCGATAATGACGGCGTTCTCGATATTACTAGCATCGTCACCAGCGGCCAGACTCGCGAGTTCCTCGCCAAGAAGGAAAAGGAAAAGACCACCACCGGACCCGGCAAAGGGCGGAAGGGAAAGGCTCAGGAGGCCGAAACTGCCCGGCTGACCCGGCTCCCAAACTCGAAGCGAACCCACAACATCTTCCACTACGAGGAGGTCATCCAGGAGGGGCCACAGCAGGAGCCAAAGCCCAACGGCGCATCCCAAGAAACCAATGCTCCCGTTGACGGCAACAGCAACGGCAATGACAAAGATGTCGACATGACTGACGAGCCCAAGACCGGCAGCGCCGCCGCCCCGTTTCCGCCGACGAAGCCAAGCCCTCTGATCCCACCTCTGAGCCCACCTCTGAGACGGCCGAGTCCAAGACGGACGCCAACGCGTTTGAGGTCAAGGTTGAAGCGACCCCTGCCCCGCCGGCTCCCGAGTCTGTCGCTGCTGTGGCCCCCGAGATTCCTGAGACCGACACTACGGTGGCCCTGAACGCGCAGCCTGTGAACAAACGCGTCCGTCGCGATATTGAGGTCGGCCTCGAGCGTTTCCTCTTTTGTTAACCGCGACGGGGTTGACCGCATCGTCGGCCCGATCTACCGCACCATTCAGGAGAGTGTCTACGAAATGTATATGCCCCCCGCCTGCTGGAACAACATTTGGCATTGTTGGAGGCGGCGCCCGTCTGCGCGGCCTCCGCGTGAATATTTACCAGACCCTGCGGGCGCGTCACCTCGTCTCGCCCAGCACTGCCACCATGTTCACCTCGGAGCTTCCCTCCAACATGGCCACGCCTACCGGTACCGGATCGCAGAGGCCCACCGGGTCCTTCACAGTTGCTCCCCATCAGCTCGGCTCTTCCGGCACCACGTCGTCCGGCGTCAACCCCCTGCTGCAGGCTGCAACCCACCGCCTCCTCGTTCCGGCCTCCCGCCTGGTGGACCCTCGACTCCGGGCGCCCCTGGCAGTGCCGCCGGCGATCCCAACAGCACCTCGGGCGGCCACTCGTACCACTTCCACAGCCAGACGCCCACGAGCATCAAGCTGGCACCCATGCCCAGCTACCTGACGCAGTGGACCAAGCACGGCTTCGAGGATGCCATGTTCCTCGGCTGCCTGGTGGCCGGTCGGCTCGCCTTCACCGTCCACAACCTGGACATGGCCAGCCTCGACGCCCAGCGCATGATGAGCCTGAATCGTATCGAGTACAAGTAAGTGATCTCCCACCGTCTCTCTTCTGTCTCCCTCACGCTTCCTCTTGCCCTCAGTTGAACTGACCTGTCCGCAGCGAAATGGGCCCCAAGGGCATCCGCACCCACTCGATGCTCCAGTAAAGCGACGGATAGGGAAACGGAAGGAGACCGCCGGGGCAGGCTTGGTTTTATTCGGGTTCCTTCTGAGGAAGTTCAGGGGATGAAAAATGGAAGGGGGTATTCCGAGACGACGCCTCCGGGCGTTGAACGTTTGACGTTTTGCTTTTGTTGTTTCATGTAGGGAACTTTTTTTTCTTTGCAATGAACCTAACTTGAAAAAGAAGGGTATCGTCATGGCCCGTGATGGAGCGGTGATGATGCCCAAGACACAAGTGAAGACAGCAGCAGCAACTCATGGAGGCAGATCATGCTTCATGGTTATGCGATGAATTTGTTTTGGTTTTGGCCCGGGTTTCTCCTACGAAGGGTCATTTGTGCCATATGTGTGCCCATGTTCCATGATGAGAATGTCATCGAGAGAAACATGGAGCGCGTCAGAGGCATTGACGCTGCTGGATCCAGAAGCCAATCCGCAGCGCCAGCGTCGCACAGAGCCTTGCGTTCTCTCCCCCCGTGACTGTTAGCAATCCCCTCGGCAGACGGACGTTGGATGAGTGACAGAAGTCTTTCGACTGTTCGACAGGCATCGTGATCGTGCAGCGCTGATCCCAACCAGCCTTCATCTTGAACTTTGGTGGTCGAAGTCGTGGACAGCGTGTTCGCGCCAGAGGCGGCATATGATCAGAGTGGAGTCTGGCCCGGAATCTTAGGCACACACACACACACACAGTGGCAGGCAGTTAACCTCCCCCAATTGAAGGACATGGTTACTTTTCAAACTTCCATCTCTCCCGCGCCATTCAGTTCTCGGCTTCACAGCATCTCTCAATCCCTCTCCATCGCCCACGCGCTCGACGTCAGCCCGACCTTGTGCCGCCAGGGCCAAGGACCTCAAGAGCACCTCGCCCCGTCCATTCGTTCGTGCGCGTAGGCGCTGTTCAGCAGAACATCCCCCCCCCCTGACGTTGCGATGTTCCAGTAGGCCCCTCCTCGCCCATCGTGAATCCCCTGCCTCTCTAGGCCCAGTCGGCTGACGATGCTGGCAGGACGTTCAGGAATCTCTCCGCTAGAACGCGCATCGGCGTGGGCATTGGCATCATCGGCTGGGGCCTCGCGGGCCACTACCTTGCCGACCGCGCAGAGGAGACGTACAAGGCCCCTGCCGAGGACAAGGCCGTCGTCGATCGCTACGTGCCGCGTGTGACGGTCGTCGACAGGCGTGAAGGGCAGTGAGTGAGTAGGCGCTGGCCGCAAACATATCTGGGGCCCGGGGCGTTCTCATTTTGGCGGCCTCTGATACAATACATACATGTTCATTCATCACACTCGCGCCAAGGGTACTCGGATGTTGGGGATGATCATAGTTAACGCGAGTTGGATGCTCCTCGTCGTGGTTCTAACATCTACAACATAATCTATGCCGCCTGGATGCCTGCTGTTCTGCATTCTGAATGCGGCCCGCAACTGGTCAAATCCTGCCCCTTCCCCTTTTCTGACGTATTTTTCTCATGCGCGCGTAACAAGTGAACCGAATAACAAGAATCAGAAAAACAACAATGCCTCCCTCACCGTGTCTGCTTCAGACGTATGACAATGACCATCTGACACCAGACCGCACCAGCCGAGTTCCGTTGCTCTGCGCATACCTGCGCCCAAGTTTCGTAATCAGGGAAGGCCCCCGAGTATCGTGACAATCTCCCGAGCTACCGTTGCGGCCGCCCAGAGAGCCTCCCCAGTTTCTATCTGCAAGAAGTCTAATGCGGTGCCAACTCCACTCCCCTTCTATCATTGCGTGGTACCGCCCTCGGAGAAAAATGCATAGCAGGACCAAACCACCGCGTTCCCGGGCTTCTGATGCAAAACAACTCAGTTCGCTGAGTACTGTGTACGACGGCCCGCGAGTCGTGTCAATTCGGGCCGTGACAACCCGTGGTGGCGCGTGAACGGCACAGAACAGGAGCATGAGATGGGAAGAGGGGAAAAGGAAAAGAAAAAGAAATAGGAAAACAGAAAAAGACAAAACGCCGCCGAACAATGCAGTGAAATGGACAAAGCTGCCCATTATCAAATCATACCTCCGCCGATGCCGCCGATGTTTGTTTGAACAGAAGGTATCCCTGGAGTGGCCACGACCTCTGGCACGGGCTTGAAAAGCCCGGCCATGTCGAGCGTCAAATCCATGGCCCCAAAATCCTTGTCAATATCGCCGACCGAACCCAATTCTTCACCTCGCGAGGCTCCATCTGACATGACCCAAGCCCTGACAGACTTTAATAGCTTGATGACGTTCGTAAACCGAGAATCAGGCGCCTGCTGAAGGTGCGCGGGCTGCGTATGCTTGAGCAGAAACTTGGCCATCCAATAAAAATGGACGCCATCCCGCGAGAACCCATATCGTCTCGCGCTGCCCGGGCCAAGGTTGGGCGGAAATTGAGTGACCATGTCAGCGTCCCAATTCGACTTGAACTTGTCCAGAGCAACGCGAAACAGCGCGAGCACCTCCGGTGCCATGTGACAACCACCCTCAACAGGTGTACTGCGTCCCGAAACGGTGCTTGGATCGAAGCGGCCCGCCACCATCCAGTCAGACAAGGGAGGTGTCCCGCAATTGACTAGGAAAGACGCATTGCCAGTCAGCTGCACCTTTCGCATCGACGACAAGATGCCGTGGATCAAGATGAATTTGCCGTAGAGATTGGTGCTGCCCGGTTGAACCTGGTAGGAGCTATGAAACAGAGTTCGCAAGACCTGGGCCATGATTGGCTGGGTACTGCGCTGCGTTCCGTCCATGTTGCTTTCTCGTGCGAGGAGTGGGCCGTGAAGCCCAAGAGCAACCTCGCAATCTCGACTAGTTCGGGAGTCCCAGGCAGCATCATCTGATGGCAGAGGAATCTGCATGTCAAAGCTGTCCAGCTGCGAGTCCAGGTTGAAATAGAGTTCCAATGCCGCATGACAAAGAAAGATAATGTGCATCAAGCGAATCCGCTTCTCTTGCGCAACCCACATGTCCCAGTTGAAAGCAGAGACATCAAAGTTAAGCGGAGAAGAGTTGGTCTGGTGAAGTGAACTGACGAGGGGCGCTCCTGTGGACACCTGGAGCAAACCAAGATTGCGAGCACGATCCAGGACAACAGGAAAAGACTGGAAGCCGGTCTGACGCTGCGTCGGTGTGCCGTGCCACAGAAAGACAATTTGCATCAGCATGGCGGCCTGAAGCTCCTCGGTCGCTCTCTTGTCAAAGACCGTGCGTTCGTACGTCTCGGCGCCGGCGTGGGGGATCCCGAACGCTTCCGACATGAACTGAATGTCACGGATGAGAGCAGACCGCAGGAAATCCATCATTTGCCTAACGTGGTCGGCAGACACGCGATCCGAATAGCAAGCGCCAATGCAGCACATTCCTGCGAGTAAGCCGGTGTACGAGTGAGCCACATTGAAGGTGGCGATGTGGAGGATGGGAAAATGCACGTGGAAGTGTGTGTACTTTTCCAAGAAATCTTTGATGTTGTCGGGAGAGAAGGTCAGGTTCAGGCCAGCGCTTTCGTGAGTAATGGAGGAGCCGTCAGGATAGAAGAAATTGAGAATTTGGTTGGATATGTAGGAAAAGGGATCAGAGACCGATGCCGGTAAGCCCCAAGACGTGAAAGTTGCTTCGGTCGGTTTCACGCCAGGAAAGGCTTCTGTTCTCGAAACGTCGGGATTAGGCTCTAGTTTGACTCCGATCTGCGTCTGACGATTATTAGGGGGGGGATTGTCATATGGGTGATTGGGTTGCGCACCGGGAGGGAACATCTGAGTCCAGTCAAGGCCTGGCTGCTGGTTCTGGTTGTTGCCGCCATACATGGGCATGCCGTTCTGGCCAGGAGGCATGTTGTAGTTGGGCAACTGCTGGCCGAGACCAGGCTGCATCGGGTTCTGGACATCGCCACCGTAGCCCTGCTCGAAGTTGCCTCCGCGGGGGTTACCGGGCATGCCAGGGATGCCGCGCCTGTCCTGGCCGTTGCCATTCTCCATCCTGTTAAGACTGCTGGCGCGGGACAGCTGGTTCTGGTCGTTGGCGAGGTTGGCCATGCCCTCCGGCACCGTGGGCATCATGCCGAAAGGCTGCACGATGCCATCAGCCGACATGTTGTTCATGCCATTGAGGTGGTTCAGGTCCCCGTTGTCCTGGCCAAGAGCGGCCGCCTTCTGCTGGGCGGCGGCATTCTTCTTGACATGAGCCTGGGGGTGAGACAAGTGGGTGGCACCGCTGGGGTTTCCGCGGCGGATAGAGCACTTCTGGAAGTGACGCTTGAGAATGTCGCTTCGGGAGAACGTATCGCGGCACAGAACACACATGTAAGGGCGGTCGCCCGTGTCTGGACGCGCCATGTCAGCATGGGGGACTCAAGAAGGTCGAGAGTCACTCGATTGAGGGATTCGCGAGGGTGGGGGTGTCCACTTACGACGCAGGAGGTGACGCTTCAGGTGCTTCGCGTGAAGGTACGTCTTGGTGCAGTGAGGGCACGGGAATTTGCCGTCGGCGTCCTTCTGGGGGATGACGGTGCTCTTGGCAGTTCCTGAGCCAGCTTGAGGCGCCGTGGGACGGCCAGGCGCGCTAGGCAGAATGCCGCGGCGACCTTGCGAGCCGACAACGTGAGTGGGCTGGTCGCCATCAGGCAGAGACTGCTGCATCATACCGCCAGGACCGTAGGGAGACTGCACACCGGGTTGCGGCATCACGCCTCCGGGAGGCATGGGACGCAGGTTGGGGGGCACTCGGCCGCCAATGGGGGCGGGTGCAATGGGCTGAGGGTGCGAGTGCGCCATGGTGCTCTGCGGCATCATGCCCGAGCTCGTCGCGTAGCCTTGAGGCGGAGGAGGATAGTTGGCCTGCATCTGGTAAGGAGCACCGCGACCGGCATGAGCGGCCTGATTGGGATAACTGGCCATGCTGTTGCCGTTGGTGTTGCCGCCAGCGTTGGACGTGGGCGTGTTCGGTGTGGCGGGCGTACGCGGAGTGTGCGGGTTGCTGCCGTACA